ACGAGCACTAAAAGAAGTATAAGGTATGAAGACTAAGGAGTCACATACACTGCAATATATATAATTTGTTGGATAACCATGGACTTTATCATTTTCATATACATTTCAATATATCCATTCTTAGAAAGGATTCTATTCTCCGAAGAATAGTTCTCTTCAAGTATTTTTCTAAATGGATCACGAATACGAGAGCACCACATTTCTGGTGTTTTGTGATCATGTTTTTTTTGTTAAAGGACCTAATCTTTCAAGTATTCTTCTATAATCTTCAGAGCCTTCATGAGTATTCCATGCATTAATTAGCTTAGAAAAGGCTTTACTATCAAGATCCATATTAGCGTTTTCAGTTAGTAGATTATGATAGATTATAATGATTTATTGTTTTATAGTATTTTTAGCGATTTTAGCTATTTTAGCAATATTATACTCTAATAAATATCAGATTCAAATTTATTCGAATATTCGATTACAAGCATATTGGGATTTGTAGCCAATTTGAGAGACTACATATTAATAAACCCAAATTCATTTCCCCCTTGTTTAAAGACTGCAGGGTAGTTAATAGTTCAAAAATCTTGGCAAATTTCAGCCGGGGCCCCAGCCAAAAACACATATTTTTTCGAATTGAGAGAAAAAAGGGCTAATTTTATATTTACATGTGGTTTGTGGATCTCTCGTGATTAACAGGGATTAGCCGGAATGATGTATAACATAAAAATTTGTATCATCCTAACTCACAGACAGTTCCCAGCACTTCCTCGTAATCTTCCCGCAACTCAGTCACGAGGATCGGCCAATCAGATTTCAGATTTTTTCTTTAGCCAGATAGCTGATTTACGAATAAAATGCATGTGCAACAAAATATTATTTTTTTTGATGGATAAACTTGTCCAAGCTCGTCAAAATTGAGCAGAACCAGGATCAGCATCCGGTTAAATTTATCTCCCGAAAGTGCTGTGCATATGGCTAGCTTATTTTTCTGATGGTAGAGTCTGGACAAGCTTGTCTGGGCTCGTCAAAACTGTGCAGAAGAATGAATGAATTTTGATCGTTACCAATGGTAACGGTTTTTTTGTCACGTGATTTTCAACGACCTCAGGTCATCCAAATTTATAACGCAGTACTTCACATATTTTACGAAATTATTTATTACATATATTACATATACTCATACACATCCGCAAAGCAAATAAAAATATAAGCCCGAATTGTGGGCAGAACTTTATTAAATCGTTTTAGCTAGTATTCAAAAGAAAAAAGTTACCATATTCTCCTAAAAATGATGGCCGAGGCTGGACAAGCTTGTCTGAGCTCGTCAAGCTTTCTGGTTTAAAACTTCAGCAAGTATATAATCTTTTTCATCCTTAGTTAGATTTAAGACATATGATGGGGGGATAGATCTAATCCGGGCTATTTTTTCTTTACCTATGCTATTAAAAAACTTATACATCTTTTCGGATCTCTCCATCCTTTTCCGTAAAGCTTCGTCAGAACATTTTGCCTCAGGAACCGCTTCTCTAATCTCACTTTTGACTAATGCTTGAGATCCATCCTTACCATGTTTGAGTTTAATAGCCGTAAATAAGATCTTGAGATGCATCTTCATTTTAGATTCGGCATGATCAATCCTATTGGAGATTCACAAGAAAATACCTCTGGCATCAGTTGCGTCATTCAGACCTAGAGCTTCCAAATCTTCAGACCTTGACACCCTCCATTATTGTTGATGTTGAAACAAACTTTTCACTCATCAAATTAGATATAGCTGAAGTTCTGCTTGATTGGGATAATTGTGAATCTCCTCTAATAGAAGTTGGACTGCTACACTTCTGATTGAGAACTTCATGACATTCTTCTGATAAGAAGGTGGGGAAACCGTGACAAAAATGTCACGATTGGAAAATTTTATGTACCTCTGATCGTTCCCCAAGGGAACGGTTTTTTGTCATATAATTTAAGAGTTTTGATCTGTGCGGTTAGTAGTTACTGAGTACACCGTAAACACTATTATATATACGAAACTGGCATACGAACATTTTTATCTTTCTGATGCACGCTCCATAAAAAATTCTTGGTATCATTTATGACTTTTGTTTCGAATGTTTTATTGGTACAGAAAATAAAATATATGATTCGACTTGTAGTTGTGATACATACAATCGATTTGCTACACAATGATTCTATGCGGATGTTTTTCACTTGTCTAAACTATCTATACTAGCACCATCACTTTATTTGTTCCAATCATCGACTGGATAGAAAAAATTGGTCGTAGACGTCAGTTATAATTATACGAGATATCAGTATCAAAAGTTAATAACCTTAACTTAGTGAAAGCCTCGCCGAAGTTTGTTGTAACTTCCAAATTGCTAATAAACTTCTAGGAAATGATGAACGGAAATTTCATTTCAATGCACTGCCACAACCAAAAAAATATTCATCCTTTTTAAAATTGCGTAATGTCTTGTCGGCATTCCTATTTACTTGAGTTCGAGAAATATAAGCTTCGTGCCTTATGTGTGTCGCACAGCTCGTTGTACAATGTCGGCAATAAATACTGCACGTCTGGATCGAATGAAAAATCTGGATCAGAAATATAATATATAAACTCAAACTCAATCACAACCATACGAAATTAAAAACAAATTTATTAGGCGTATTTATTCGCAATTTAACTGTCACTTTTTTTCTTTCATTGATAAAAAATAAATTGCAAGAGCAGATGCTGATTGCAATACATTATGTTTCTATCTTGTAAAATACACAGCTATACAAATTATCTGAATTCTAAATACTAATTGTAAAATCATTCAACAATTACACTATCTAATAAAGTATAATGATCTAGCAAACGAATCAATTTACGTTTCTCTTCATCAAACAATCTCCAACTTTTCTTAGCGTCACAATGATATCTTGCCATCCCAAAGTCAATTAAGTAAACAGCATCATTAGTATCATCAAGCAAAATATTTTCCTCGCGAATATCATTGTGAAGTACACCTCTTTTGTGAATTGCATTCAATGCAAGAAGACCCATAACCTTTTGCCGTTCCGTTATATGTTTGTAATTATTTAAAGCAGAACCAACGAGAGTCATGCCAATAGCATAATACATCCCACCGTAAAAGCCGTAACACAACAAATTTGGAATATGAATTCCTTGAATATCTGAGAGAATTTTATAAATATTGACTTCTTGTTGCATCTCTTTCAAGACATGTGGGGTTTTTGATAGGTCAGTACACTTCAAAGCAATTGTATTTCCGCGGAATTCACATAGGAGTGTCTTCCCACTTCGTCCTTGGCCTAATATACTCTTGTACTTGAAATCTGCAAAGCTAAGATTCTGAGTAGGTGCCTGACTTTTTTCGTGTGTACTAGAAGATTGTTTCTTCTTAGAAGCTATGACTGTCGTTTTTCCCTTCTTAGTTGATTTAGTAGTTGATTCGGAATAGGAGACTGACTGTCTTTTTGTTTTGTCAGTAGTTATAACAGGATTCCTAGAAAAGGAATCTGCGCATAAAACCTGAACCATATATGCATATGTTTTAAGGACCGGTGGTGATTGAGACTGTATTGGAAGGGTCTTTGAAATATAAAGCACTGATGGTTCATTAGCTGGTCGGCGCAGAAACCAGTGATGTTGATAGGTTGATAACACGCCATACTGAAGTTGAGCTTCTGCCATATAGGTAAAAGTCTGTCGAATAACATCTCTTACATGTTCGTTCATTTCATAACGTTCGCTTGTTTCATCAAAATACAGGAATGTTTGTTCACCATCCAATAGTAATAATTGAAAAACGTGCTCCCTCTTGATCTCGATTGGCGCGATGAATTCAAATGCACCAAACATGGCAGAAAAATCCGGTACACCAGCGATAGGAACTGGTTGTCTCGAAAAATCGTAGTCCGGCAAAAGAACGTTTAAAACTTGACAAATATTGTAATAAAAAGCATTACGAATATCCTCTTCATTAATACAAGACGGGAAGTTGCCAAATTGTGGCCTTTCAAATTTCGGTTCATTGTCAAAGTGAAACTTATTGACTTCTTCGAAAAGATCACCCCAAATATGTATCTCCGTTGGAAATTGATCACCTGAATATGTAGTGGCCTGTGAGGTAATAACATTTGGATGATACCCAATGGGTAACGGAACACATGATAATGCTTCTTCTTGACCAAGAAGCTCTAAAAAAACAAAAAAATAGCTTTAATTACTACGAAAATAAACTGCCCTGAAAGATGACTGTTAAATAACAAAAGCGCATGAACTTTAAACTATTTTATTGAACCTACTTTGCTTATTTAACTCATCGATAAGCTCCGCAAGATCTTCAGTCGGTCCCCCAGGAAATTTATAAGGATCGGCAAGAAGTTTTTCTCTGGTCAATAGAAGAAATTGACGACCATTAACTCTTTCCCTACGAAAAATTTTATATTCTTTCTTCTTAAGGCCAAGGTTCTTTTCTCGTAAAAAAGTAACGAGTTGTTCCACATCATATCCTTTCACAACTTCAAACGATGACATTTTGATTTCGGTTCGGATAAAAATATACAGTGGGACAAAGCAGTCAACAGGTTGTACAGTTTCGCATTGCATTAAAAAATGTGGTATATATAAATATCATAGGAGGACTTTCACGTGATTGGCCGATCGAATTCAATTGAATTTATACAGTTTAAAGTACTTTTTGAGATTT